TTGCATAAATAAAACTCGTAGTTGTTTACTTTGATGTGGCATAGTTCTGCTACACATAGAACCTTCTGYTCTCATATAGTTGTTTTTCTTTGTTTACACTGAATGTTCACAGTTTGCCTGTTTGTGAAGTTAAAGTAATAACTCTAAATTTGAAAGAAATGAAACACAAATTTGGATCAGAGGTAAAATATGGAGGACATCTTCACAGGGATCTTTCCACAGCTGAAATGTGATTGGCTTAGAGCCTCTCCTGAAAAGATCTGATTGGCCACAGACAGGAAAAGGCGGGAGTACCATGAAKGATGGAAATAGAAGTGATGGTCAGAAGTCTAAAATTGGGGTTTGACTACTTCCTRGAGAATCCAGCAACTCATGGTTGATGTCAGTCTTTTAAATAAATGTTCTGTTGTTGTTATTATTAAWTTTTTTACATCACTTACAGATTTCATTTCTTTTATTTTGAAAGTTTTTCTAATCCACTCAGATGATTTGAACAGGGTTTTTATTTGCTTCTTTTCAACTCAACTCTGACCTGTTGGAACATTTATTTATTATTAGATTTACCCAAAAGTTTATGCTTTGATTTTTTCTTATAGTTTTTAAACGGGCCTCTTCAGAACCTGGACCTGCTGAAACACGTAAACAACACAAGTTCTTCTGAAGACAAGAACCTTTGACCTCCGTTTGTGTTTTTATGAAAATTATTCAGAGAAAGATCCTGAAAAATGTGGAGATCTGTTTGAAATAAACAAATAGAGAAACAACAAGTAAACAAAAAGATAAACAAGTAAAGAGATAAATAAACAAAGAGATAAACAATTAAACAAAGATATAATATATGCAGCTGTAGTCAGAGAGATGGATGTGTTTAGAATATAAAACCACAAATAAAAACAAATAAAAAATGTAAATAAAAAATCATAAACAAACCAACAACAGCAAACTGATGATCAGCATTTCTTGGTTCTTGAAAGTCTCTTTTTGGACTTGCTTTGGCTCTGAGCTGGATCTGGTCTCAGATCCCTCACTGAGATCAGATAGGGAACTTTGTTCAGACTCACCAGTTTCTTCCAGTGGTGTGAATGTGGCAATAAAAAAAATCTACAGAAAAAATTCCAATCCTTCATATAGGATGATATTTGTTTTAGTTGTTTTTATTTATCATTGGTAGACACAATTTTGGCATTCTGACTCCTTCTTAGAAAGCTTCTTAACATTCTTTTTCCAAATTTTCTCCTCTCTAGAAATTCAAATAATTATATAAATAACATTTGTGAATAATTATGATGAGCCATGTTTTTAGACACAACCAAAAAGGGTTGTAAATATTTTCTTTATTTTTCATTAAAATAAATAAATAAGACAGCAAAGACGCCATGATCCCACCATTTGAAAGACTAATAATAACTTTGTTGACCTAATTTGTCCTGGGTCCTGAAGAGGTACTTCAGATTCTCTATAGTGTGTACAAATATTATGTATTCATTATACAGTTAACCCAGCAGAATTATATTTTTGCTAGAAATGCTTCCTGCATTGAAAGTGCTAAATAAAATTAAAAGCAACATCAATGTTAATAACTTGCAAACATATTGAAACTGGGTTCTTTTAAAATGCAACTACTCTAATTTGGCAAGATCGTTTTTCTTTATTCTTCAAAAGGGACGTCGCTTAAAGGCATCCACGTCAGGTAAGATAATAACTGTTCATACTCTTTTCCTCAGAAATCCACTTCAAAATCTGAATAATAAAGTTAAAAGCCACATTGTTTCTTTTTATTGGATAATCTTATCTTTTATTGTGCTGAGACCTGAGTGCATGTTTACTTATGTGTAAATGTAAATTGTGTTTTACCACCTGACATATGGTATTGCCTCTCTGTCTATCTGTTTCTGTCATGCTTTAATTTTACCATTCATGCTAATCATATTTGACCTATTTTTTCTCAAGTTCTCTGCAAATTTGCTCATCGTCCTCATTTTTGTCAAGATCCTTGTTGTCTTCCTCCACAGCTCAATAATTCACCGACAACAGTTATCTGAAAAATACCGCCATTATTGTCCCAGAAGTTTCGCAACAAAGTGCAAGTTTCAGCTTTTTTGCCACTTCTGCTGGCAGAAGAAACCCATCAAAATAAAAGTCATAACCGTTTAGTGCAATGACTTATGATTTAGTGGTTTGGTCCCAATTTGCCTCCTACATCACAGGATGGGCAATAATGATTGCGCACACAGACATGTTGATAACGATATAGTGTGCAGCTCTTGATCATTGGCAAAACATTTTTTAATGTCATTTTTCAAGATGAATGGAACAGTAAAATAAATGTTTTGGTCAGAGCAGAAAAAATGCTGACCTGAAAATTGGCTGTCTTAATTAATCTGAACATCCTCCGTCCACCTCCCACTGGCCGGAGGAGGCCCGCGGGCCACCAGTTGATAGTCACTGTTTTAAGACATGTTTGTTAGTCAGGGAGGTTTTCGAGGACCAAAGAGCTGAAAAATATCTCCATCACGTTATATAAATGACACATCATCACATCTCATGTAAATTCTCAGCTAAAATAAACGTGCACGAGCAAACTAGTTAATTTGCTCCCAGGTGGGTCAACTCTCCATCATCTCCATGTTTAGCATAATGATAACAGGCACCTTGGCCTCGCGCTCGCCACACCCCCCTCTCAAAGAGCGCCATTTTGTTGACACACAGCCTTGCAGTCAACTTTAGCTCCTAGTGAGGAGCTTTAAACCAAAATGTCGCCATAAAACGCGCGCGCGTGTGTGCGTAAAAGCTCCGACCTGGACTTGTCGTGTCAGCAAACGTAGATGAAAAAAATAAATAAATAAAACTGTCGTGAGCCCCTAAAGCGGCGTGTTTCAAAGTCCACGGCCACCCATTTTAACACGACGCACGCAGCTGCTGACGTCACCGAGCCGTCTTTGTCCACCTAATCCAGGCGGCTGTTTATTACGCCTTCATTACGGCTCAGACTCCAGCTCCTGTAAATAGCCTGCAGGTGCCGCGTCGCCAAAAGAAAAGAGAGAGAAAAAGAGAGAGGAAGCTTTTTCTAAGCAAGGGTACAGAAACCAGTGCTCCGCCTCGGATATACAGGCAGGGAAACGCCACAAAAACCGACCGAGCGAAAAGCCGCCAGAGGGTAGAGAGGAGCGCAGAATCCCCACATCCATCTGTCAGACGCTTTCCAGCCCGGATTTCAACGCAGCTATCGAGCTAATATCACCAGGAAAATGTAAGTACAGCAACGTTAAATAAAACAACGTCCTTCTCATGTCTAATGCTAATAGGCTTATTTTAATGGCGTCCATCCTGCATTTTTCCCCATCGTTTGCGTCTATTTCCCAGGTTCCTTTTTATTAATTGTTAAATAACGGTCGGTGTATTTAATTCCCAGCTATTTATCTTGTGTGTGTCTGATAAATGGGGCTAAAGGTGTCGGCCTAACCTTGGTGGAGCAGAATAAGGAGGATTTTATCTCTCCTCAGACACATTATATATTAGCCTTAATATTCCTCCTTCTTTACAACAACCAGGCTCCATGGTTATCCTCCATTTCAGTGTCTATTAGCGCCCACAAGCGCGTATATATTTTCCAGTCTGGACCGGTTCGAACCGTGAAAATGACACCTGTCTGTGTAATGCGGGGGTTAATTTTAAAAAAGTATTAATCATTATTGACCCTGATTGTTGTTATCCTCCGCCTGACAGAATGAATTCAGGGCTTAATTTCAGCAGGGCGGCCATTAAGCTAATTCAGGAAGGACTCGACAAACCATCCTCGTTCCGGCATCTTTTTTTCTGTTTAGATAGTTTGTATAACACGGAAAGCGTTGACTGTATTCGACAGATATTTAATAAATCTCGTGATTGACGGTGATATTGGCTGTGAGTCAGGCGTTCGGGCCTAGTTTTTGTGATATTTGCAGCCTACAGCGGGGGTGGTGGATGGGGGGATAGCCCAGCCTCCTATATGTCGTCGATCGTCATGCGAGGGAGGACAGCTCTATATATGTCCACATGTCGTGCTAGTCGTGTCCCTTTCGGTCAGATGAGACTAAAACATGGTGTTGTTTCGACTTGTAGCGCTTTAAAACACGGCAGACGTCAAATTATAGCACTAAGGTGAAGGTCTGCCAGGCTAATGGCGGTGAAACAGCCTCAACCTGAGCAGGACTACTGTTAACGCTTCCTGTGTTCGCTACAGGTCGCATTTCTCACTTTATTTGTTTTTTAAAATGCTTCACAATAAAGAGCCTCCACGCCCTCTCTGTGTAAAGCTTTTAGCAGTCCAGACAGGCCATTTGTGTTCCTTGTGTAAAAGGATGTTTTAAAGGACTTTAAAGTATCATAATATACAACTACAGTCATGTTTCAATGAAATGAAACACTCAAATAGCAGCTGGATACTGAATGTCGCTGTCCAGTGCTGAAAGTCGCTGTCCAGTGCTGAAAGTCGCTGTCCAGTGCTGAAATGTCTCTGTCCAGTGCTGAAATGTCGCTGTCCAGTGCTGAATGTCACTATCCAGTGCTGAATGTCACTATCCAGTGCTAAAAGTCGCTGTCCAGTGCTGAATGTCGCTGTCCAGTGCTGAATGTCGCTGTCCAGTGCTGAATGTCACTATCCAGTGCTGAATGTCACTATCCAGTGCTAAAAGTCGCTGTCCAGTGCTGAATGTCGCTGTCCAGTGCTGAATGTCGCTGTCCAGTGCTGAATGTCACTATCCAGTGCTGAATGTCACTATCCAGTGCTA